GGGTAGCTTATGTAAATTTGATATTAGTAAGAGATTAGGTTTTTATGGGTGTAGGGGAAAAATTGATGAATCATTGTCGATGGATTGTGATCCATTGACGAAACCATTGTGTGCAAAACGGGAGAAGCAAACGGCTCGTAACAATTAAATATAGGTCGAAGTACAAGAGATTTGATACTAACGTCTTTGGTAAGTAGGCAGGCTACATGTACATCCATCAAGAAAAGGTAATGGTATAGGACAAGAAAGTGTAATATGAAACATGAACTATGGCCATACAATCAAATAAACTTCATTCAGGAATCACATATTAATAGAGCATGAAACCAATACGAGGTTGTAAAATATAACTAGTATCCCTACGTACTACGTACTACGTAACTCTTAGTACTATTAGTAGTAATCACTATGTGGTACATTAAGCGTTTAATTTCTAGTTTATACAGAAATATACCTAAACTACTCCATGGCGAAAGATAGTGTTAATAAATTTTAAATAAGTAAACTATTACGTATTAATGGGTACATCAATTAAAATGCGATTTATTTTTAGATAAGTCATGGGGGACATCTGGTGAGCAAATTAAGTAATCATTATGAAACAATGGGGCCAACACGTATGGTTTAAATGAATTAAAAATCCATTGAATTACAATCAATATAATCCTAATATTTCTGCTACTTAGGCGGCCTACGAGTACAAGTTTATCAAGAAAAGTAATAGGGGACAACGAAGAAGCTGACCAAAGATCTTGAGTTTTTTCATAAATGGATATTCTCCCGCAAAATATCCGAATATGTAGTGTGGGTGTTGGATGAGTTGCGTGTGGAGAGGTATCAGTGACGAAGCTAGCTTGTTATTATAGGGGCCATGTCCCCTAAATAATTAATTATGTTTGTGCATTAACATAGACATGTATTGATGCAGTCCATTGAGAAATGGATAATGGAGGCATGTGTCGAGGGAGGCTAATGGCGCGGCACACATAATGGCTCGCATAGACTCGTGTTGATGAGAGAGTTGTGTGGTTGGATAGCCCGCCAGTTTATTTAGTTGATAAGCTGAAACTGGCTGATGTTCCATTGATTTCTAATTAATACAAAATTTTTTATGAATAATAATACAAATTTCCAGGTTCACATAAAAAATACAAAAAAGAGATGGTATATATAATTTTATTAAAGGCCAATATTATATTCCAAATTAATTTATGTTTTGATATTTTCGAACTTAATTAAGTTGGTTTATGAAATTGAAAATAACTTCTCATATAAACTTCCCTCCATTTTATTTTTTCAAATGAAAAAAAACTTAAAACTTCAAAATCTCCCTCTATTTTTAATTTTTGTTTTTTTCTTTCCACCAAAATACGGCTCCCATTCTCCTCAGAACCCGTTACTACCACCACTGGAAAATTATCTCCATGGAACCTGCATCCACTACCAAGAAGCGTTGATGGTCATCTGGTTTTCGACAGCGGTTACACATTTATCGGCACCCATGGGTTTTGCGGCTTCTGTGGGCAGAGGTGACCACGGTTACACATTTCTCGGACGACGATCTTTCCTATGCCCTAAATACCAATGCGTCCCTTGCCCTCATCTCTAGTAGCTCCTCTGACGATTCCCTACGCTCAATCGACCGTTTGCGCTCAAGGTCCTACCCATACACTGGGCTTTTGAGCCTAGTTTTGACTTGACCAATGCCACCCAGCTCAAGGAAGACTTCCCCTCCGTGGTTCCATCACTTGTGTTTGCATTGAATTTAGTTATGTAGCTTGTTTTTGGGGTTTTGACTACCATGATTTTAAATTTTTAAGTGAGTTGATTGAGCACATGCATCTTCCAAGGCGTCCAATGGAATAACATTTGTTGATGGTGCAGAGATCGTAGGATTTTCCAAATTGCCGGTGAGTTTGACTGAGAATTCCCCAAATTGGCAATTCCCAGATTTCTTTGTGAATTGTTTGTAATTATGAGCATGCACCCTTTAGTCACCTTCTCCTTTTGTGTATCTGGCCATAGTTCCCTTTTCTGGTAGTCCTAATCTTATGGAAATTACGGTTGTAAAGTATCGATGGGCGATTGTTTCAGTCTGATACATTTGTTTGATACAGGCAGTAAGAGACATTAAAGGGTGACGTGATGGAATTTTAAGCACTGCAGTTTACAGCCATTGATCTGCGGAGGTAAACCATGCAGATACCTAAGCTAAGGTATTAACGCGTGAATGATGTAAGCTATCAATGGAGATTTTACTTCGTATCACTGGTTCATATGATGAATGATTCAACAAATGTGTTGTTAGGGAGGACAATTAGTGAAACCATTGCAGTAGAGTCAATTTTTAGATGTGTCTTGTTTATATGTCCAATATGCTTTGCAGAAATTAAGCCTACGCGAAGCATGAAAGCGAAGAGTTGAACGCAAGAAATGCAACTATGGGAAGAACACAACCTAGAGAAGGTGGAGAAACTGCAGGAAATCCAAGTAGGAATGTCCTCGTGTGGGGAACTGAGATACCCGGCATATCCAGCTTCCAATGACACATGGAAGCTTCTAGGAATAAGGGAATTTCAATGCTATGACAAGGTAAATTTACCCATAGCATGAACTTATGTGATCAAGCTCGTTTTCCTAGGTGGAAGTATTACAGATGCTAGCTGCAAACGTTGTTTCCAATTTAGTATAAGATGTGGAACGGACAACCTGGGAGCAGATCTGGTGAGTAAACTTGTGGTGAGTAACCCAATAAGAATCTGCCACATCAGCGCCTCCTTCTCTCTCCTAGAAAAATCATTAATTTTCTTTCCCTTAATCTTTAATGGACGATTTCTCACTCGTTTTAACTCGGAATTTATTTTTTTGCACAGTTAGATCAGATTAATTGTGTTCTTCAAAATGATATTCACTTTGATATTTTTTGGAACAAAAAAAGCTGCCAGTTATTACCAATCAATACCATACGGTATAGTCAATACGATAAGGTATTGACTGGTATTAAATAACAACATACTATATCGTATGAAAAATACCACCTCATACCAGGGTGGTATAGTATGGTATGGAGTTGGTAACGATTCAAAATGATATCCACTTAGATATTTTTTGGAACAAAAAAAATTTGCCAATTATTACCAATCAATACCATATGGTATTGACTGGTATTAAATAACAGCATATCATATCGTATGAAAAATACCACCTCATACCAGGGTGGTATAGTATGGCATGGAGTTGGTAACGAGAGGTATGGAATTTTTTCCCCTAGAAAATTTTGAAATCCAATAGATCATGATTAAATCGTTCCTTTTGTGCAAAAATTTCCGAAAATGACTAAACAACGAAGGAGATACCATATGATATGGAGTTGGTAACGAGAGGGATGAAAAAAATTTCTCAAAAAAATATTGAAAATGGATATCATTTTGTAGAGCACAATGAACTAGTTCCATCTGTGCAAAAAAAAAAAATTCCGAGTTAGAATGAAGAAGATATGATCCAATTAAGAAAACTAGGGAAAATAAATTCTTTTAATTCTCCACCCTTAGATCTGCAGCCACTTAAAAGAAGGGTCCAGATTTGGTTACTCATTGTTACTCATCCTATCTTGAGCCCGGACAACCTGAAGTTGTTCACTGTCATGTTGAACTATTGATAGCCAAAAATAGAACATTATCTAAGTATATTCATGCTCCTAAATCGAGTTTTTGTATAAATTTACTTGTTTTTTGGTCCATGATAATTGGTGACTCACCTTTATAACTTATTTTGCAGTGAACAATAGGGTGCCACTTATAGATTCCGCTATGAGCCGGCTGTGGAGAAATCAAGGGTACGTAACAAACTCATTGTTTGGCCCCATACATAAGGCAGCAAGGTTTTAAATCTCCTTTTTTTACTGTTCAATACCATTCAGTTCAGTTCAACGGACATAATACGTTTGTTTCTTTAAAATATACTTGTAGTTTTCACAACCTAAGGTTTGATTTACTTTTAACTGACTCAATATTTGTGGGAACCTTTAAAATATTGTTTCTAACCAAATATATTCTATCTCCAAACCCCAATTAGTAACTAGATATTTTTTTTTGAAAATTTGTACACTTATATATAATGTAGGGCAGCCCCTGCAGTTGTAAGGGAAACTCGTTATTTGTTTTTTTGCTTCTTCTTCGTTCAAAAAAAAAATTTCATTCCAATGAAAAACGTCAACAAATCAAGGACCTCCAGGTTTTGTACTCACTTCTTTCTTTGTGCTCTGCGTCATTTCATTTGGCCCTTGCATGTTTAGTTGGGTGATATCCATCCTCGTTGCCTTCCCTTCATGTTGTGCTTTTCACTGAAACCTTCACATGGCCCTTGCACGAAATTGTACATATTAGCAAGTGCCTTGTTTCAACTAGCATAACATTTAGAATGAACAACAACGTGGACCTCAAGGCGGCAAGAGTTTATCGTGAACTGTTTGTATGGTTGTTTTGCAGCATGCGTTAGGCTGCACTTGGTTCATGTTGGTGTCATTTTTCTCTTCGCCTGTATTTGACGTTGTTCCTTATGTTTCTATTGTCTCTTCCCATTATAAGAAGAACGAAAATAAGAAAAGTAACCCAAGTCATCCAGATCAAGAAAAGAATGGGGTAGAAGATGTAGTCTGTCTTGGCAATACACTCCTCACTCCGATGAAAAGAAAGAACTAGACCAATTCAGCCTACGAAACAGGAGGCCCATCAAACCCTTTAAGGAGTACATAAAAACTGGACTGCAGTGTGGTTAATGAAACTCAAGGGGATGGTCCGGTGCTTCTATATGTAAAAATGTTTGCTTAGTTCCTTTGCAATGGCATTTTCTATGGATTCTGAGATGTATTTGTTGCTGAAAATTTTAAAGCCCATAAATCTTTCTCTTGTCCACCCTTTGGTGGTTGTAGCATCTCACTTTCAATCATAATTGACAAAGAAGCCTGATATTAGTTTTATATGACACAGGTGATCACATTTATGGAATTTTATATTCCAAAACACATTGACCTGAAATATGATGAACTCGTGGTTGCGTGTTATACGTTTGGAAAAGGTCTCCCGCTAGATGAAATGTTGGTTCACACTACTGAAATTACAGGTCATCGAAAGGCGTTCTTGAGCCTTTGTCCAGGGAATGTGATAACAGATGAGGTGAGCTCTTTCCATGAGTAACCTAAATTGACAATGTAATTGAAACTAATGCAATCTCTCTTTGGTATGTGTTCTTAGGTGTTGACGATGGTTTGCAGCTATTTAAGTCACAAGCAATTGCTGGAGGACAATGCGGAATTGAGTTTTTTGCCACCAGATTTTTCGGTACTGCTAACACCTATTCAGTTTAAAGTCCCCCCCCCCCCCCCCCCCCCCGATTGTGTGTATTTCATTTTGAGATTGACCTTTCATAAATTAAAGGTAACTCTTATGTCGCTGACAATTTTAGGCATCTTTGTTGGCTGGACATCTAACCCCTGAAAAAGCATTGGACAAGTACCAATTTTCGTTCCTACAGAGTTCACGTAAGAGTAAAAAGGTTGTATTTTATTCTTTGTTTAATAAGTGTTGTTTCCATAGGCAGCATTGTAATCGTCCATCTATTTTCTTAGGTTTTTATCCCCTTGAAGGATGAATGTGACTGGTATTTGTTGGTTGTCGATATGAAATCCAAAGAAACAGTGATTTTAGAACCATATTTCCTAGAAGATCGCATAGCTATTCATGAAGAAGCTGTAACAGCAGTGGTAATTTGTTTCAAACTGTCCTTTTACACTCTTTATCATAAGCTTTATCCTGCATTTCACCCGTGTTCTACTGTATTATCCACAGATGAAACTTTTGGATAACTTAGCTCCTCTTCTGTGCTCAGTGGATGGACAAATCCTTAAAATTTCATATTTTGACATTATCAAACCTTATGGAGAACCCTATGCAGATGTGTAAGTACATATCCTCTCAATTTTACTTCATATTGTGTAAAAAATTTCCTTTTGGGCTCTTAATGCATATAATTTTTGCTTTTTTGGTGGGTTATAGTCCACAAGATTCTGGAGTGTGGGTCTGCCAATGGATGTTGCGGGTGAGCTGTTTGACACTTATGATGTTCCGGTACGATATATTTTTTTATCAATTGAATAAACTTTTTTTCTGCTGCATTAACAAATTGTTATACGGTCTCAATGTTGTTCAATATAGTACGTGGATGAAGGACTTCGAATGAATATGGCATTGCGTTTGCTGCTTTCGCCCTACAACATCCACTGTGGAACTATTTTGAAACTTGCCCACAAGTTTGCCGACAAATTCCAACAAATCATTTCTCGTTATTATCATGTTCGAAGAGAATCAAAGATAAGAAGTCAGATGTTTCGCCTGCAATATGATTAGGTTACATTGTACTGTTGATACTTGCTTCCACAGTCTGCTATAGACAATTTCGAATAATAGTTGTCGTTTTTTTTTTTTTGCATTTTCGTTTCCATGGAACTTTAGGATGTTGAACAAGTTTTTTTTGTCAATGGTTAGTTGGATTGTAATGAATTATCATTATCAGCTCTATGTCATTTAGTGAGGTCGTGTGCTCGCTTTATTTTCTTAATCTCAACAATAACTCATCAAACTTTCTTGATTCTCAGTTATTTTATTGCAGAAATGGAAACTCACCTCCGACCATTGGTCATCTTCCATAAAATTTTCCTTGTTTTATTCCAGTTGGGACAGTCACCTATCGTCTTCTGTCTGTGATGCACATTTTGCAAGGGGATTAGATGACCCGATTTCCAAAATCGATTATTAGCAAGCATCAACAAGGTAGAAACCCAATTTACAAAAAAAAACACACATTCACCGTGTTTGAATCATCGATGGGTGTCGCTTCGCCGATCCGGGTCTTGACGTATGATCTCGCCATCATCATGCAGTCTCGGTGTAGTCGATCTTCCCTACTTTTCCTCTGTTCACCGTCGAGAAGAAGAGACAAGGAGGAGCGTAGAGATGGCGAGGGTGAGGCTAAGGGCGGTAATGGAACGACAGATCTGGGAGGGACGACGTGGACGAGCTAGGAGGGACGACACCGACGACGAGTTGGGAGGGACGATAGCGAGCTCGAATTTTTTCCTTGATGGTTGCCACGACGTCGTTGGGGACCCTGCACGTCGCTCACGGCAACAAACGAGGAGTGGGTTTCGACGGCTTGTTTCTGCTGGCGGAGGGTTTTTGGGATGGCAGTGGGTTGCGGCGGCAATCCTCTGATTGCAGAGTTTGCTGGGTTTCTGCGGTGGGTTTTATTTGGGATATAGGTTAATTGTGGACACAAGTAAAATCGTCCAAATTTGCATTGAGTAAGCAATCAACCAAATTGTCGATGGAGAATAAATTAGAAGTGATACAAAGTTTGGGTGTTCGAAACAAACAGTTAAAAAATAAGGTACTATAATATGATAAGCAATGGTAAAATATGTTCGAGGACTATATCGTATGTATATAATTTTAATGGGTGTCACTGGTAATTATAATTGCAAAAATTAATTATTTTTTATTACCGTAAATAATGATCGTTAGATGAGATCAACGGTGAGGAAATCTGACATATACTATACGCCTGACGTACACCAATCGTAACCATATATATATATATATATATAGGTCTACTACTATTACTAGATAATTAAAGTATGAAGTACGAAATTACGAAAGGGAAAAAATCAAAATAAACATTATTTAAAGATAATATAAAGAAAAGCAAAGAAAATAATAGATAGAAAAATAGGCCCTAGATTCCTAGTACTCAATCCTACTCGAAGGATCCTACTTCATCTCCATCTTCATATAGCTCGAGGGAAGGAGAGCGAGCAAATGTCAGAGAGACATCTGGTAGAGGGATCTTCATCTTTTCCATAATCGCATGAATGCATGCCATGATGTGTTGCCTCTGTTCCTTTTCCCTCCTTTGATTATTGAGGATCGCCTCTATCAATGCTCGAGTATGGAAGTATCTTTCTCGATTGATCGTTTAAGTGGTGGGTTCTTCAGTTGGTTGTTGTGCCTGAACCTCCTTATTCATGTCGCCTTCTTATCGTTCCTTGCCATCCATGTCCGTTGCTCCTCTTACAGCATGCCAATTATTGTTACCAGAAAGCGGAATACCGTACCTTCCATGTCCAATGTGTTGGTGGTTGGAAATGAAAGGCCTTGGAATCCCCATAATCCTTGCTTAGGTTTAAAACCTTGATACGCAATGTCAGGGTGTCGAAGGAAATGTTGCCAATCAAAATTTGACGTATCAGAAGTCGACTCAAAGTATTGGGCAAGTCAAGCGATATATGCTCTTCCATGCAATGCAGCTAGTGGATGATCTGTTTCATATCTCTTCAACGTGGAGAGAATTGCTAAGCTGAGGTGTAGAGGTTGAGGCAAATGCATATTGTAAAGGAAGATGACATTTCGGGCGGTTAGATTGCCCTTGCTCTTGTAATTCCCACCACGGATCTAGAAATCACGTGATGGATCAACCTGTATTTGGGTTTCACTTCACTAGCCTTTGATAGCTTGATATCCCATTGACGATTGCCTAGCTCCTTGAATTCGGATTCATAAAACGTATTGAAGCATGGAAAATCACTTTATTTTGTCAAGGTGGCATAGTCATCCACGGAATCCACAAATTCCGCCAAATAGATATTTTATGCCCTTATGAACTGTCAGATCGACATATGGTGATGGGGTCATCCAAGTCTGAACTCAATGTTGGAATTTAGATATGTTACACCTTTGAAGTCTTGAATACTGAGTGTGCTAAGGAACTCCAACACTAGAACTCTATAGATCTTCTCCTCCATGCTTAGCAACTTCAACCACTCTGGTATGTTGATTTTCGAACGTATGGCCTCCTCAATTCCAAGATGGGCGAAGATAATCCAGTTAAGGCATGAGCTCTCGCCAAGGGGGAGGTCTTGGAGCCATAAGAGTTTGGTAGTGAACTGCTCGGGGATTGCATCTAAGAATGCATAGGTAAGATGCTCCATTGCAACTCTTGTACCTTCATGATCCTCTTGTTGATCTTCATGAGGATGCTCCAAAGCTGGTGGTTGTTGTGGATGCGGTTATTCTAAGATCACTTCTCTTTTTCGCGGTTTACTCCTCTTCTTCTGTGAGCAATGATGGGTACGAGGAGGATTGGAGTTCTCCATGTGTTGGTAACTCTCTCCTCAGATCATTGCCCTTATGCTTGTTGGAAACCCGACAAAAGAAGTGTACACAAAAAGTACACAAACACCATCAATCCACTAATAATTACAGTTGAACTTTCAAAAGTATCCTTGACATCATCTATGCACCCCCACACTGAAATGAGGCAGTATTTAAAGAGAGAGCATAGGTGAAGAGACATAGCTAATTCAATATAAACTATATTCATTCTCCGCAAATAAGCTTAGCTCATTCATGCAAGGTGCAATTATGATCATAAAAGTTCAAATGTAAAGCACAGGATCAAAGAAATTGAAAGTTATGCGAATTGGAAATTTCATCGAAAACTTGGTGGGCAATACTTAAAGAACATAAAAAATCGTACAAAAATGACCCACCAAGGCATCACAATGCACATGAAGACATCATTAAAGCATAGACAACAATCCCAATGCACATAAAATTCATGCCATAACCTACAAATGTACCAAAGTTCACATTTGAGCTAGCCAAGGTACCAAGATGATATGAAAATGGAAAATAGTACCTTAGCTTGCTCGGGGACACGATATTAATCTAAGAGATTAAGCAATACTTCTAAAAATGATGATTGAAAGTGAGCTAAGATGAAGTATGGTCAAAAGGGTTAAAAGAAGTTTGGGAACATGTTTTTTTGGATTTAAAAGTCATTGGGAAAGAGAGCACATGAATGCAAAGTGCACGTGTCCTTGTCTCAAGTTCAAACTTATGAAGGGAAATTAGAAGCAACTTGGTTTGATGGAAAATTAGAAGCAACTCTTGCATCTTCTTGTTGTAGGTAAATTAGTCTCTTCCAACTCTTTTGTAAACTAATTGTACGGCCGGTCGGACCATTCCACCTATCAAACCGATATAAAAGTTATATTTGCCGTTTGACTTGAATGCAAAGCGTATTCATGATAATAGAAGATGTGAAAAACGGAAAGGGTAAAATTACTAAAATCCGAAGAGCATGCACTACCGTCGTTTAGAAGGAATGTCACCAACACCATTACCCATTTCACCGTTCACAATTTTGGCTTAAATTTAATAAATACTAATTTCTCATCCCCTTTGCTTCCCCTTGACTGCCGGTCCCGGAGATGTATGAGCGAGCCAACTAAAGCGGAGTCTTCTTCCTCGTCGAGCCGTCCCCAGCAGATTTCTTCAGGACCCCGTAAAATATTGGCGGAATAATCTTACGATGAACATCGCTGCTAAAGCAGCCATTTCCAATCTTCAAAGCACCTCTTTCCACCTTCGGACCGCCCTCTTTCATTCTACCCCTGTCCTCGAACGCAAACGCCGCGGCTTCAACTTCAGCTACTCTGTGAGTTCTGCAGAAAACCTTTAAAAGCTTCGTCCTTTCTCTTTTCCCATATGTTTTGGATGATTTCAAGCTGGTGAGTCAATTCTGAATTCCCTTTCTCAATGTGAACTACGATATCCCCCCCCTTCAGTTTTTGCTTTGATGGCGTGCAGGGCATGTTCCCCAGCTTCTTGCTAACGTTGATTTTCACTGAGGCGAGTGAAAATTTTGATTTTTGGTCTTATTTGAATTTGGATTGAAAGACATAGGGACGGGATTGAGTGAATTTTGTAAAAAAGTTACTCGAGAATTGAGGTGGTAATCTATGTTGGCTTTTAGGTTTCGAACCCTAGCCTGGAATTTATCTTCTCCCATATCCTCTGCTCCATTGCATCAAACATTGTTACTCCTGAATGAGGTAAAAAGGGAGCAGTAATTGGTTGTTAATGGTTGTGTATGTTGCATATAATAGTATCGAAGGTTTGTCCGATAGAGTTTAGTTCTACTATGTCTATCATCAGAGTAGACATAAGGAATTACAGCCACCCTTACCTTATACAAAGTGATAAGTACTTTTGATTTGTTTGTAGGTTGAATGACCCTTTCGTCAATTACAAAGACGTTTAGTTAATCTGTCAAACACATAATTTCTTCTAGCGTTTGAATCCTTAAGTTGTAATGTCTGTGTCTTGCTAATTTTTTTGTTCTTTTAGCTTATGTCAGGTTCATTAGTTGTTTATTTCTTTCGGTTATGAAGCACATCCAAAGGTTTACTAGCCCTCTGAACAAATATTCAATCAGTTTCGTAGCAAATAGTACTGGAAAGACTTTTTGCTTTTCCGTGTTGTGATCTATACTAAGGCATCTCTTTTCCTCGGACATGGATAGTAATGCCTCTGGCAGATTTCTGATTACTGAAATCGCTCTATGTAGAGACCAAACTTCAGCTCGAGGAGGCATAGGAAGCTGCATGGAAGAGAAGAATTATTACGCAATATTAGGGCTTATGCAGACTCCTTATTTCAGGTTTCTATCTGTGCTCTTCTTTCTTGTCATATATGTTAACTCCCTAGATAATTTCAGATATGTTTTCTTGGGCCTGTCGTGTTTAGTGACTCATTTATGTATGCCACCCAAATTACGCATATCACGTTGTAAACATCAACTGTGCTAGAGTTTCATTAGGTGCAATTTGTTTCCCCCCTTTTGTGCTTCTGCTAGGTGATGGTTCCCCAAGGATTCAACCTTGTGTTGCTTTGATGTCTTTGTCCTCATGTAATCCTCAGAATTATGTGGGTGATCTATATCCTTATTTTTATATTTCCAGGGTGTGAATGATGATTTTGAGGATGAAGATTCATCTTCAAGTAAAGGACCTTCATGGTTTAGAAATCAACATTCTAGGGGGCCCAAAAACAGCAATGCTAGAAGCAAACGCTGGGGCAAAAGTAAGGACTCTAAGCTTCAATTGTGCCTCCTTCACAGTTCAATAATTTAGAAAGGATTTTTGCTAGTTCAATGTAGTGCTTCTCAACTACGTACTTATTTGAATTAAGAGTTGACAACCAGTTGTCAAATCATTTATCTTATCTCTATATGATTGATCATTGCCCTATTCTGAAGCTGCTCAAAGATTTATAGAAAATAATCATTTTCCCTGTCCACAGAAGGTTTTGATTTTTGTGAAGACGATGTTGAAGTTGAAACCATTTTCCGATCTGCATTTGGTGGTGGCCGA